ACCGGTTTCCATTCGCCCATCTCATTTTGTAACAGCACGCCTGCTAACCCAATTGAGCTTGCGTCAGTATGTACTTGATGCTCAGCATCCGATCGATAAGCAGTCATAACTGGCTTCCTCGTTAATGTCGATTTCAGTTCATTGAATGACCCCTCTTGCTCGTTACCCCACTCAAAATTTACGCCTTTATGCAAAAGCTGTCGCAATGGTTTACTCACGATCGCATAACCTGGAACAAATTTCCTAAAGTAACCGCTTAAACCCAAAAATTGTCGTACTTCCGTTTGGTTTCGGGGCCTTGCGAAGTTTTCGACTGCTAAAGTTTTTGCAGTACCAGGGCTAATGCCGTCTGAAGTTAATTTATGACCCAGAAACTCGATTTAGGAATATGCATTTTTTTATATTTAGTGTCAATTTCGCCTCACGAAATGCATTGAATACTCGTTGTAATTTACTAAACATTTCGTCTGCCGTATTTCCGCCTACGCCAATGTCGTCCATAAAATCCACCATATCGCCAGGATGAGTCATTTCTTTGACCTTGGCCATCGTACGCAGGAATACCGCCGGAGCATTCTTGAGTCCGAAAGGCATACGTTTGAATTCATACAACCCGTCTGTCGTTATAAATGCAGTATATTTTCTGCTTTCTTCCGCTATTGGTATTTGATAATACCCTGAGTTAAGATCAAGGGTTGTGAAATAAGTATATTGTTTCGCTTCTTGCAGCCGTTCTTCGATACTTGGGGTGGGAAATATTTCTTTGATCGTGTTGTTGTTGATACGCCGATAATCAACGCATAAGCGATCTTCGCCATTCTTTTTCTTGACTAAAACAATAGGGCTGGCATACGTAGATTCTGACTTCTGGATGATACCGTTTTCCAAAAGGTCATTTACCATTGTTGCCACCACCGACCGTTTTGGTGCTGGTACCCGATACGGCTTTTGTACGATTGGTTGATCGGTTGTTAATGTAATTTTCATTTTCGTTAAACCCGTTTTGCCTATTTCGCTCAAGCTTCTGGCGAATACGTCTCTATTACTATTAATGAGATTGCACAAGTCTCGTCGTATTGCATCGTTATCGCTTCCACAATTGATTTCGTTCGTTGATATAGGGTCCCGCGTAGTTATTCTTACTCTTAAGTGTCTTGGCGTTTTCTCTAAGGTAAACGTATCGCGCTGAATTTGTACGACCACATCATTTGACACAACATCATGGCCTAGCAATATATCGGTTGTCAACATTTTATCGTCTACTACATAAAAATATATTAGTTGGCGTACACTGTCGACGGCAAGTTGGGCCCTAACCCCTTCAGTTAGTCGTACCTTTCCACCGCCGAACACCGAAATGTTCATGGAACATAGCTGAATTTGACCATTAATATTTCTCGATACTGTTTTCCGTATAAGACTGCACTGGCTACCTGTATCAAGTAGTGCTGTACATTGTCTACCATTTATGTATACTTCTCTGATCGATTCGTTGGTGCGTTCAATTCGACGCACACTTGACTCCCCACAGTGCGTACTCTGACCTTTTGGGTGAACTCTTCCGCAATTGTTACACCGTTGTCTACGTTGTGGCTTTGAACATTCGCGCGAAAAATGTCCCGCTTCACCGCAATTGAAGCAAGCTCTAACCTTCGGTTCCGTTCTAAACTGTTTCTGTCCGGAGTTTCCATTTGCGTCTACACTTACGCTCGAATTTATTATCGGATTTGACGATGAATTTGCCGAAGCTATTTTGTTCGTTCCATGTTGCATATTGCGTAAAAAGTCCTCAATACCTTCGCGAAAATCTTTTAAATTATTAAACCGTAGCGGTGCGATCGCCGCTTGCAATTTAGTGTCGTTTAGTCCATTGCGAGTATATTTTATAATGGCACTATCACTTATCTTGTGTCGTCGGCCAAGTGCCGCAATTCGAAAACAATAGTCAATGATGCCTTCATTAACATTACGTACCGCTTGACTCAATTCAAAATTAATGTCAGCTTCGTCACATTTTACATCAAATTCTGCACGCAACTTATTCGAAAAACTTCTCCACTCGCTATCAAATTCTTGTAGAGAATCCAGCCACAACCGCGCTACTCCTTTTAACTTTCCATAAACGGCTAGCAATAGTTGTTTTTCATTCCATTGGAATGCATTAAGAGATCTTTCGACGCGATTGATAAATTGTCCAACCGTAAGATCATTTTTATCTGTTGGATCGAACACGGGTATCGTTTCGCTGATATCTTTTAAAGACCCATGTTGTGGTAAATCGTTAACCACTGTAGATGTAATTTCCGTCTTCTGATTTTCATTTTTTTCGCTCACGTTTTCCGTAGGTTTACTTCGTGTCACGTTTTCTATGCCCATTACAAGTTGTTGAATCATTCGTTCCATATTATCTATTCGTGAATTGATCACATCTACCGGCTCGCGGATTTCGTCTGCTTTCAGGTGCTCTGTCAGACGCAATACTAACTGCGCTTTGTTGCCCGTCGTATCTAAACCTTCTTCCTCCAACGCCTCCTTCAGCTCGCTTAAACGCATATCCTTCAACTTCACCATTCTCATTTTATTACCGCCGTTAATTTATAAACAACAAATTTCGTTCCCGTTTCGTTTTGTTTTTCTTTATACCTTAACTTCGCTTTCGCGCATGTTAATGTGTTGAAGCGCTAGCGCTCCCAAGGACACACTCACACGTTTCGGCTAGGCGCTGTTTATCCCACTTCTGATTTTTGTTAAGTTATTGTAAATAAAACAGTTTGCAAAGCTTTTAAGATTTTAACCTAGTTTATTTATTATATTGATAGTAGCAGTTTTTAATATATATATTATTTCATTCGCTCCAAAGCAACCCAAAAAACCTCCACTCTACGCGTCGTATTTCGCCATACTCCTCTTTAAACGTCAAACGCTCGATTTGCTATTTTTGCACATTCATGGTTGCATTTTCGCATTTTAATTTTTCGTGTTTTTACAATATTAACAAAACCATACGACCACCAAAGAACATGGGTCATAAATCATACAATAATAAAAACGTCTATATATGTATCACAACCCATGCAAACCTCCCTGCGTTCAAAATCAAAATAAGACCAAAATACGAACATAAGCACTTTATCTGCACACTCATAGGCATATACATCCCTTATCACATCTCTTTCATTCATATCTCATATTTCTCATCCATATCAATAGCCAACATATATTTAAATAAATGCTCTTGCATTTATTACCTAGCTTTCAGTCCATGTGACTTACCAATAGGTATTTAAAAATATATACATTTCTGTCCTTTATAAGTTTCCACTTATGCGTTTCGCCTGGGAATTACCCAGGCTCTTCAGAGTGGATACTGAATATTACAAAATATTCATAACTATTGTCTATGTATCTATGTCATCAGCCTAATACATTTCATATTAAAGAATATAAATAACATCCCAATTTTCAAAGCAATCAAAAATTGTATAAATTATATATTGAAACATACCATATTTCAAATGTTCAACAAAAGTATTCTCACACTCGAAAAAATCCAATACATCAATTCATTCAAATATACATTCAACAATACTATCACTTCTAATATTTCTCATACTCGAAAAATATTCAATACACCGTACACTCCAAAATATCAAAAAATATGAAATTATGCTTCATGATGCATGATGCTAATCAAAAATAGAAACCATCTATATCATAGATCAACTATACAATAAGTTTATAATTATCTCTTTTCTTAATACAAATACTGGCAAAAAATTTTACCCAACTCGAAATTGAATAATTAACACCTTCTAAAATACCCACCACTATCACTTTTTTAACCCAACATAACTTTTAAGATATATATTTAAAATTTTTACAATTTGTTTATGAGGTGTTCAGTTTTTGGATAATGTATTCTTGTTAGATATGACTTAATAAAGTAGACACTTTTATTATAATAGTTATTAGTCCAAAAATACATAAAGGATAGAGCCCTGAAATTATTTGCGAAAACTGACAGACTTACCAACACTGCGTTATCAAATCTCAAAATGGTTACAGGCTCCTCGGGGAGGTATGCAGATCGGAGGTCAATTATTGCTTAGTCTGATGATAAACAACAATCTAGTCAAAGTGTAAAGAGGGGTTTTGAAAATACCTCGAGTTGAAAAATAGTATAAATGCTTAAGTGCACTAGCTCAAAACAGCTTCAACATAATAATAATAGTTATTAGATAGAATGTATATATGTACAATATTTGCAGTAGATTAATGTTTTATAATATTTGTATGCATAATAACATATCGTCAATGCTCAAATTCCCCTCATCATACAATATATAATGGAAGGAATTTGTCATATACCCAATACACAAGACCTTTCGCCCTATGATATTGAGCCCAACAGGATTAAACATATATGTTCCAGCCCAGACATGCAGTTATCAGCTTTTTAGCTTTTTTCACCTAAAAACACTCCCATGTTTACTGATGGATATACATGAGTAATTTAATAAAAATAAATAGATACATTATTATAATGAAGTAAATCTAATTACTGAACCTTTGTATACATATATTTGAATGCTCTATATACATGTCATAATAAACAATTATCTAATTATCTTATTATCTATTCCATTTTATTTTGGCTTTGGAATTTTTTAAAACAATGTGTGTGTAGTGGTATATTACACCTTTTACACAAATATGAGGATGGTTTATGACAAAGCTTGCACCGTCTCTTTTTATTGCCTACTATTTTTATAATTAAATGGTGACCTTTGATTCGGGGCATATTTTCAGGTTGCTCCTCCTTGGAGATTGACATTGGAGGAGGGTCACTATTATCGGCATCATTGTTGTCATTTTCGCTAGATGATTTTTGCAATATTTACACGAAAGTCTTTTTGATTTATAATATTCTCTGCATGGAAGCGACGAACAAAGTAATCCAATTTCAAGGCATTAACGATGGCTGAATCAAGCACAGCTAGCTATAACGGCCAGTACCACTTTTTAGATCTGATTCCAATATAGTAATTTTGAACTGCATTATCATTTAGATCAACTCCCCCCGTATATTAAATTTACCTTATATTTACAGTATATTAAATTTAAAATCACTCGCTTTTGCCGACTGAATGCAATAAAATAAGTATTTACCATACTTTTGTTGCTTTAACTATTGCTCAATGACTGTGTCCTTCCATTTCAATTAAACTATAGTTAAGCAACTTAGAAAATTAATAAGGCCTTGAGTGCTATTGGAAAATTTATTAATGTTCCGTGCAGGCACAAATATTCAAATTTGCTGCTTTGAACGTGTTAATGTGAAATTCGTCATTTTTGTTAACTGTTACAAAATTTATATAGTGAGCGCAATTTACTTAGACGCACTTAATATTTTTTCAAAAATGATACAACGAACTCGAATATAAATGTTTTTTTTGTTGAAAAAGAAAAAGCAGTGCTTGATAGTAAAAAACAAAAAAGAAATATATTTCATATCAGTCATTCTTCTTACATATGTACAAAAACACAAAAATAAGGCAAAATAAACGCGCAATTTTCTTAGGCGCACTATGTTTAAACAAAAGAAATCAAAGAGTTTTCACAGTTTTGACAATGCTTAATACTTTGTAATTCCTCCGTTTTGGTTTATAACTGAAAAAATTCGATTTGGCATCGAATCTATCAATTTTTTGACAATCACATCGTCGATTTTGTCCCAAGCCTCTTGGATTGATGCTTTGAGCTCACTTACTGTGGAATACTGACGTCCGTTGGCATAGACCTTCCGTGAAATTATTCCCCATAGGTTCTCAATGGGTTTTAGGTCAGGACTCCTTGCTGGCCAATTCATTACCGTTATCTGCTTCGACGAGAAGTAAGACTTTGATAGCTTGGACACATGAATGGCGGCGTTATCCTGCTGGAAAATTAGATCCCGATCGGCGTGTTCCTCCAGAAACTTTATAAGAACGCCTTCCAGCATTTCAGTGTACTTCTCTGAGTTCATTCTTGTATTTATGAAGCACAAAGTAAGTTTTCCATGGAGTGAAAAGCCGCCCCATATCATGACAAATCCGCCTCCAAAGTTTCTACTCATTCTTATGGGATTGTTTTGGCGAAGATCATGCCAGTAAGAGCTGAAACCGTCTGGCCCGTCCAAGTTAAATTTTTTCTCGTCCGAAAAAATAACCGAGTGCCATTCTTTGGTCCAATGCATATGATTTTTAGCAAAAACAATGCGAATCTTCTTGTGCATTTCTTTCAGAGGGGGCCGTTTCATCATTTTCTTCCATTTTATGTGGCCATCTGCATGTAAAATTTGCAGCACTCTTCTTTTTTTAATTGGTAGCTGCAATTTTGATGCGATTTGAGCTGCACTGAGCCAATTTTTTGTTGCTTCTTCCTTTATTTGGTTTTTGAGTCGCCGATTTATCTTTGCATTTCGCTTGTTATTCGTAGGGGCTTTACCATATTCCTCACCCATACGTAAAAAATTTCTTACAACGTGTTCCGATCGGTTTGTGTGGCGTGCAATTTTCCTCTTTGAGAATCCATTTTGATGTAAACACCCTATTTTGGCTTTTTCATCAGCGCTCAGAAATTTTCCCTATGCCATTCGACTTGCGCAAATGCGAAGCCTATTTCGTAAAGAATTTGTATGGTTTTTGCTTTTAGAATATTAGCTCAAATATTAATGTGTTATGAAATACAAACCTTCTTACAGAACAATCAAATAAACTAATCCGAACTACCGAAACAAATATATGCGTCTATAAAAATTGCGCACTTACGTAGCTTCTTTTTTATGAAATTCACCGTTATAACTTTGCAAAATAAAAATCACATTCCTTTTATGTTTGTTAACGTTTAGTAATGGAAAAGAAAAAACAATAATGAAAAAAGATCAATAGCTTTGCTCCTTAACAAAAATAAAAGCATTTTTTTTGTGTGCGTCTAAGTAAATTACGCTCACTGTATATAAGTGATAAAAACCATCATTCAATATCAAGCCCATTATACTGTTAACATAATTTAATAAATACTGCTAAATAAATTATTTAATATACTCATTTTGTATCCAGTATAAACCTGCTATAATAGTTACTCTTATCATGTGCGTATTTTATTATAATTTATTCATCTAAAAATAATAATAAAATATCATTAATCTCTATCAACAAATATATGGATTTACGTCACCATTAAAATTTTTAAATTTATTTATGACATGTCCTAATTCCCTTGTTGAATACATCTTTATGAAACAACAATGATTACAATAACTGATTTACATATAAAATCAATTGTTAATTCAAGGCACATTATACATAACTGGTATATTATTAGATATGCATTTATATATTATATTAAATATTATACTTAATAATTTGTACATACTATTACATATTCTATCCAATTAATATCTTATTATATTTAAGATTCAAATTCTGTTTATTCATAAACTACTTAATATTATATTTATCAGAAAATATATCTACGTATTAATAAATAACAAATAATAAATAAATAAACAATCAAATGTTTAAACAATCTATATG